GCACGACAACGACGACGATCTGCGTGCGAGCTGCACACGAGCCGGTGAGCGGCGCGCCAACGAAGACGACGACGAATGCCGGTCACTTGCAGCACTGCCGGCGCCTCCTCCGCAACCGCTTGTGCTGGCCTCGGCGCTTCCGCTCCCACTGCTGCTGCTGCTGCCGCCTCTCCTTCTCCTCTTGCGCCCCCTCGTCAGCCAGTGCGATTCACGGCCACGCGAATCCATGCGCGATGCGTTCAGCTGCCGGCCCTCCTGAAATGCACAAGAGCTGCAGAATGCACCGCACTCGCACCCTCAACGAGCACTTTTGAAGGCGATTTATAGAGCTTCGTTATCGTGGAACATGCTAACGCTATTTCACAGCCTATGCAAACGGTCGCTGGGTAGCGCGGCGGGTGGATCACGTGCTTGAAGGGTGGCGGGCGCCCAAATGATTGAAGGCGGAGGTGATGGTTGGTGGGTGCTCAAGTGTATTTCCGGGGCACGGGTTGGGGACAGGAAAGAGGAGGCAATGAAGGTACCAGTCAGGAGTTCCAGATGAAAAATGGTAACAGTGGTTGGAGGTGGCGGGTGTCCGGGTGACGTGAATTTGGGAATGGGATAAAGGAGGGGAACAAGGGCACTAGTCAGGAATTCGAGGAAAGAACTGGAGGCAGCAACAATGGGAAAGAGGCAACACAGCAGTGCAAAAAAATAAAGAAACCCTGAACTTATGAAAAGTGAAAAAAAAAGCGAAATCAAAGAGTCGGATCTCATTAATAAAAACTAAAGAAAACAAAAGCAAATAAAAACTGAGACAATGCGAGCGGAGGCTGTCTCACAAACTTCCGTCTTCACTTGGGTGTTTCTCTATTTATGACGCTGATGCTTAGGTGAAGCTTCGAGCGAATAAGTTTGATCAGTGTCCGGACCTCCTATCCAAACCTCCCCCACCCTGTCTAGAACCTCCGCGATCGAAACACCACACCACCTGACACACTGAACATCCGCCACTCACCGTGAAGTAACGTCATCCGCCAACGCGAAGAAAAAAAATTTTTTTTTTTTGCGATTCGTGTATGACGCGGCTGAGCCGGCGACTGCCTTGAGAACCGGCCCACTCAGCTCAGTTGGTTGTGGAAGGATCTGAAGTGACTGGAGGAGGGAAGGGAAGGTGAAATGGAGGGCCGGAGGCTGGGAGTGGCAACAAAGCGGAAGAAGAGCGGGGACAAAGCTTTTTAGGCGTGTGTCGATCTTCTGTGCTCAGCATGAATTTTGATGCTGGGAGGAAGTTTGCAATCCTGAGCAGTACACCCAGGACCTGAGTTAAAGAAATAAAAACCAGCACCGCGCCTTCTGCAGCTCGAGCCGGGACCCAAAAATGGCGGGTTTCCCGAGATGTTTGAGACTAGAAGGTTTTTTTGGACCACTGGTGCTCGGGCCTGTGGTGCACCATAGTTTCTTCGGGATTGTGCCAACCGATGTCCGGGAGCATCCCCAGCCTGGCTCCCGGCCCTTAGTTTGTGGTCTAGCGTCGGAGAGTACTTACGAGGAGCTAGCCGGGAATGATGGCACTGCCGATGGTTCCAGGTTGGGGTTTCATCTTGGTCGCCTAGCCCCGTAAAAATTTGGGCGGGTAAAATTATTATTGCAGCGACCACGGAAGCTAGAAGGCTAAAATTTTGCGAGCATGCCCTCTGCCTACGTGCTACCCAGAAAATTTAAATTCTTCCACTGCCCGCGGGTAACATGTGTGGCCCCGTAAAAGTTTTGGCGAGTAAAATTATCTCGGAAACCACAAAATCTACGAAGCTGGAATTTCAGGATAATGACTCCCTGCCCACGCACGATCTTGCAAATCCAAATTTAGCGTTCCCTCGCTCTTGGGTATCACTCACAGCACCATAAAAATTTTGGCGGGTAAGCTGTCATCTCGGGGACCACAAGATCTGCGAGGCTGAAATTTCAGGGTAATGACCCCTGCCCACGCCCGACCTTGCAAATTCAAATTCAGCACTTCCACACCCTCGGATATCAGCTACGGCCCCATGAAAATTTTGGCGCGGAAATTGTTATCTGAGGAACCATAAAAGCCAAGAAGCTGCAGTTTTCTGGTAGTGCCAGTGCGTGAGATTTCACGTGTTGGTGCACGAAATTTTTAACTGTTTTTCAGCGTTTCAGCTACAGACTAAAGTGCAAAGCAGTGAAAATCATTAACAGGCAACTGTTCGTTGGACGAATTGCACAAAACGCATTATCGCACCGGCTAGTCTGGCGCGCGTTGCAATTTATTGTTATTATTATTTCAGATGGTGCAGGAAGGAGCGTGCTCGCGAGAGTCCCTCCCGTGCTCCGCTCCGGCCTCCGATCTCTTGCCCCGGCTTTCGGCCGCGCTCTCCGCTTTCGTCGCTCCTGATGAGGTTGCTCTTGATCATTTTTTTCTAAAGTCAGCTGAACTGCTCACACATCATCCGGTTGTGTCTGCCGTGTCGTGGTTGCCTACTTGAAGACTGTGCTGATCGGAATCAGCCGAGGTTACCGGCTGCTGCTGCTGCTCCTCGCCTGCCTGCCTCGAGGTTGATTCTGCCGCCGGTTCTGATGTTGCGGGAACGA